CGAGATGCGGTCCGAAAGGTATTTTGGGCCGGAACCGTTTAGGGCTTTGTAGGATAACAACAGCACCTTAAATTGGGCCCGGTAGCAGATCGGCAGCCAGTGGAGCTGGAACAACAAGGGCGTTGTGTGCTCCCTGCGTCCCGCTCCTGTTAGTAACATGGCTGCCGCGCGCTGGACTAGCTGAAGCTTCCGGGCCGTCTTCAAGGGCAGCCCCACGTAGAGAGCGTTGCAGTAGTCGAGGCGGGATGTGACCAGAGCGTGTACCACCGTGGCCAAGTCAGACTTCCCAAGGTACGGGCGCAGCTGGCGCACGAGCCTAAGCTGTGCAAATGCTCCCCTGGTCACCGCTGAAACCTGGGGATCCAGGCTCAACGATGAATCCAGGGTCACACCCAAGCTGCGAACCTGCGCCTTCAAGGGGAGTGCGACCCCGTCCAGCACAGGCTGTAACCCTATACCCTGTTCGGCCTTGCGACTGACCAGGAGTACCTCTGTCTTGTCTGGATTTAATTTCAGTTTGTTCGCCCTCATCCAGACCATTACAGCGGCGAGGCACCGGTTCAGGACCTCGACAGCCTCCTTAGTAGCAGGTGGAAAGGAGTGACAGAGTTGGACATCATCTGCGTACAGATGACACCGCACCCCGAAACTCCGGATGATCTCACCCAGCGGCTTTGTAGATATTAAACAGCATGGGGGACAGTATAGAGCCCTGTGGAACCCCACAGGTCAAAGGCTGTGGTGTTGAACAGGAGTCCCCCAGTAACACCTTCTGGGTACGACCCTCCAGAAATGATTGGAGCCACTGCAGAGCAATGCCCCCAAGACCCATTTCCGCAAGGCGCCCCAGAAGGATATCGACGGTATCGAAGGCCGCTGAGAGGTCCAGGAGCACCAACAGGGACACACTCCCCCTGTCTAGCTCCCGGCGCAGATCATCCACTAAGGCGACCAAGACCGTCTCGGTTCCATGTCCCGGTCTGAAACCAGACTGTGCCGGATCCAGAATAATCCGTGTCTCTCAAGAATACCTGGAGTTGTGAGGCCACCACGCTTTCCATGACTTTGCCCAAAAAGGGGAGATTGGAAACAGGCCGAAACTTGTCAAATTTAGTGGGGTCCAGTGATGGTTTCTTCAACAGCGGTTTTATAATTGCTTGTTTTAAGCACGCTGGAATCTTGCCTTCCCGAAGGGAGGCATTAACCACCACCGTTACCCACTCAGCCAATCCCCCTCTGGCCTCCTTCAGAAGCCAGGATGGGCAGGGGTCTAGGATGGACGTGGTGGGCCTCAGTCCTCCAAGTATCTTGTCCACATCCTCGGGTTTCACAAACTGAAAAGAATCCATCAAAATAGGACAAGCAGGTGCTCTAGTCATATCCACAGAGACTGCATTTAACATGGTGTCCAGCTCAGAACGGATCAAAGCGACTTTGTCTGCGAAGAACCGAGCAAATGCTTCACAGCGCGTGACCGAGTTGTCAGGGCTCCCGCCTGAGGTGGCGGGAGTTAAAAGACCTCTGACAATCCGAAACAACTCCGCCGGACGGTTTTTTGCAGACGCAATAGTGGCCGCAAAGAAAGTTTTCTTTGCGGCTTTTATTGCCGCGGCATATGCCCTTAAAAAGGACACAAACCGTGCTCGATTTGACTCGCTTGGGTCCGAACGCCACACGCTCTCTAGTTCCCTCTTCCTTCGCTTCATCACTGCCAGCTCCTCAGTAAACCAAGGAGCTGGTTTAGCTCGGCTACTTGAGAGGGGACGTTCCGGAGCGATCATGTCAATTGCCCTGGCCATCTCCCCATTCCAGAGAGTGACCAAGGCCTCGACATGGTCACCTACCGAGGAGGCGGGAAAATCCCCAAGAGCCGTCAGGAATCCATTAGGATCCATAAGCCTCCTGGGGCGGACCATCTTAATGGGTCCTCCACCTTTGCGGAGGTTAGGGGGCGCAGTGAGCCTAAATCTGATCAGGAAGTGGTCAGTCCATGGCAACGGAGAGATAGACAACTCCTCCACACCGCCACCCTGCTCCCATCCCTGGCAGAAAACCAAGTCCAATGTGTGTCCAGCACAATGGGTGGGGCCAGATATTTGTTGGGACAGCCCCATGGTTGCCATGGCGGACATGAAGTCCTGAGCCGCTCCTGTGAGGGTCGCCTCGGCATGGACATTGAAGTCTCCCAGCACCAAAAGCCGTTGAGACTCCAATGCCAGGCTCGAGACTACCCCCGCTAGCTCAGGTAGGGAGACTGTAGTGCAGCGAGGTGGACGGTACACTAGCAGAATCCCTATTCTGTCCCGGTCACCCACCCTCAGGTGGACACATTCAAAATTTGTGGTCTGCGGGATGGGGCTCCTGGTCAGATGGATGGAATCTCTATAGACCACTGCAACCCCGCCTCCCCGTCCTCCGGATCTCGGTTGGTGCTGTACGGAGAAACCTGGGGGACAAAGCTGGGTCAGATTCACCCCCCCAGCTTCATCCAACCAGGTCTCCGTAATGCACGCCAGATCTGCCCGCTCCTCCAGGATTAAATCCTGGATAAAGGTCGTTTTTCCGTTGACAGATCTGGCGTTCAACAGCACCACCTTCAATCCAGAGGGCCCGCTCACCTGGTTACACCAATTTACCTTAGGAGACCGATTTGGGATTATTAATGTTGATAAGTGGTCCGAATTAGGCCGAATTCGAGGTCTCCTTTTTCCGCATCTCCTCCTCCCCACCACGACCTCTATGGGGGCCCCTCGGCTAGTGGAACACCTCCCCCCCTCCATGCCGCAGTCCCAAACCGAGATCTTAATATCTGTCCCGCCGGATGTTTGGTCTGTTGGCCCCTGCCAGCTCCCTTGTTTCTTCTCCTCCCCCCTCCCCGCCTCATTTTTGTTCACAGGTTCCAGCCCACCTCCTCCCTTGTCCCTTCCGTTGGACAATAATAACAGGGACAGTACTAATAGGGGGATGGGTAACCACATGGATAACACTAGGTTTCAGATGGTGATAGGCGTTCCAGCCACACCAGTTAGATAGTTCATAAAGTGCACAATGCAAGAGTCTTAAGTGCAACACAGTCAGTAACACGACACAGTCAACAACACAACTGCGTGCCGTTGGGGCAGATTCATAAAGTGCAAGATCTTAAAGTGCAACAGATACCTGAACTGGATCTCAATGCTAACTAAAGTGCGGCATAGAGGGATATAGAAGGGGGCGTAAGTGCTAGAGTAGTTTAGCAGCAAGTGGCAGGCGCCTTAAAGTGTTGAATGCGTTCTTGTATTAACTTAGCAGCGAAAGACAATCAGGAACGTACTATGTTGGTAATTTGTAAACACAATATTACAAAGATGTCAATGATAGCAATTAGGTAGGATTATTGTGATTCACGATGTAAACTCTAGACGGTTGATCTAAAAGCGGATGGGTCTTCAAATCTTTCGGAGATGATTGACACGGCAGTGGTCGGCACAATTGGTCTATTACAATATCTATCAACACAAGGAGAGGCCAGCACAAAGGTCTACACACTATCGGTCAACACAGCACCACAGCAAGATCAACATAAAGGTCTACACACAGCTTGCCGGATGGTAAGGGCCCAAAGAGGCTTGCCAGATGGTAGGGGCTTGCCAAATGGTAGGGCCCAAAAGTAAAAGATGGTAAAGATATTGAGTTGATAGTATGTCTTCCAGCTGATGGATCGTGGACGAGCGGGAATCCCGAGGGAACTGCTGAGCTCCGGGCGATTAAGCACCGTTGATCAGGCTCACTGTCGTCGGGACACTCCTGGGGTTTCCCCAGCCAAGGTGTGGATCGTGTCGCTTTGTGGCGCAGTGATGTCGTCATCCAGACGCGCCAATAGGCCCCGCCCAGCTGAACTTGGGACCTCCGCCGAAGATGGACCACGAAGGGTGGACTGCGGAAGATGGAACCACGGAGACAGCGCCACCTAGGAGTACGGAGGAATCAAGCCGAGGAACAGCCGCGCGCCAGGCCCTCCAGTCCAGGATGCTAGGCTTCGCTGTTGGGCCCTCGCCCAGATGGCAATGCAGGAGTGACTCAGGAGTGACTCAGGAGCGGCACAGGCCGGGCGGGCCGCAGTTCGTTCCTTCCCACTCTTAGGGAGAGAGGGAGGCGGCTCCAGCCGCAGCTTGGCCACGATGACAACAGCGGCAGCCGCGGCAACGGCGGCCGAGGCTAGTTGGCAAGCAGTGACTTGTCTCTCTCTCACACTCAGAGGGCGGAGTGGGAGGGGGCGCCTCCAGCCGCGGCCTGGCCGCGATGATAACACTGGCGGCCGCCACAATGGCGGCGGTCACGGCGGCACAGGACGCGGATCGCCTCTCCCCGATGGTCCGAGGCTCTACAAAGTCCCCACAGCAGCAGGACCGCTAAGCAGACCGACGCTGAGATGGTAAGGAGCCCGAAGAGGTGGCGCGCTGGCAAAACACCTGGCGGCACGGCTAGGATAGCGTCTTGGTAGGCCCTCCGGCAGCAATGATGTAGAGGCAAGATGGCGCCCGCTGCTACCGCGACGCGCACCGCGGCGGTCCGGCAGCAGCTCGTAGCAGTCTTAGTAGCGGCGGCACAGCGGCATAAGCGGCGGACGGGCTCGCCCCTTCGTGATGTTCTGAGGGGGCAGCCACTTTCCACCCACTCACCCGGTGAGGCTAAAGATCTTATTGGAGAGGGAGCCAGCAATGGCGTCTTCCTCCCTCGTCTTTCATTTCATTTCACCTCAACAGTGTTATGAGTTCTCTGTGCATACTGATTCAGACTAAAACGATTATGTCTACCACTTGTTGAATGCAATTCTTAAAAAGTATCCTTCAGTGAACTCTATGTTGGAAACATGTAATGTTTTGTACTTGGTAGTATAGCTTTTCATTTTTTTTACATTTTATGTATATATATATTCTCATAAATGAATAAAATAAAATAAAATGTGTTTTTTTTAAAAAAAGATTAGGATAAAAATAAAATGTGATTTGAACACTTACTGGTATGTAGTAGGGCTAACATTGACACGACGAGGATGGCTTCCCGACTCAAATTTGCTTGCTAGGGTAACGTTGTTACCAAAGAGACAATACCTTGGCATTCTTACGCCGACAACTCCAGCAAGAACAGAACCTGAGTGAATTCCTATTCTCATCTGTTAAGGGGCAAAGGAAAAACAAAATCCATTAATCAGCACCACCTATAATTCTTGTTAGTTAACATAAGACACAAAGCATCTGTAATATTCCAGTTCAAATGTTATCTCAAATTAGATCAGTAGTTATAACTGGTGTACTGGTTTGAGTAGTGGAGTATGTCTCTAGAGACAAGGGTTCAACTTCTGACTTGGCCATGAAATCCACTGGGTGACTTTGGGCAAGCCACACACACTTAGCCTGAGAGGAAGGCAATGCCAACCTCTACCAAAAAAGTATTGCCTTGAAAACACTGTGATAAGGCTTTCTTGGTTCTATTTCACGGTTTTAGGATATTTGCTAGGAGAAAAGTGGGATATAAAATACATAAATACATAGGCTTCAACTAAGGTCACCACAGGCCATAAACAATTTGAAGGTACACAACAACTAAATCGTAAGTTCATATGTTCAGGAATGCTTTCCTTACAATGTTTCCTCAACAATCATTCTACATCTGCACACACACGCCTTTCCCTTTCCTGAAAGACCTTATATTTGCTTTGAGTTAACCCTGGAACCCCATACCTTAATATCCTCCTTAATACAGTTAGAACCAACCAGTGGCTTTGTGGATGTACAACAAATATGATTAAGTACAGATTATATTTCATACCTTCAGGACATATTTGCTGCCTCAGGCAGAAATTTACTACCAAGCAATTAAAAAGCACCCACATATTCAACACTGATGGTATGAGATATCTTCAAGACAGTGGTTAGAAAGAAAAGAGAGACCATTAGCTGAAGTCATTTGGTGTGTGGGGACCTTCAGGCTACAATGCAAGGAACTTATTCCTCAATGAAATACTACATATAAATGCCCTAACAAAGATTTACAAACATCCATCTGGCCATCAGATCTAAATCTACCCAACCAAATTTACTAAAGAATGCTATATATAGTTTCAAGAGGTAGAAAGCGGTATAAGGGGGTTTTTTTTGGTATTGCAGTTCCCAGATCTGCTTGCCAGTCATTTTGAGTGAGAGATTTTAGAAGATGCAATAAAAAGAGTCAGTTTTCCAAGTTCTTTTATTTTCACAAAAATTTACAGCAGCTGGGTGTAATGAACAACATAATCTGGGGAGATATAATGAAAATTACTACAGGAAGCTTCAGCCTTCAGTGCCTTGTTGCATTTAATGGCTGAAGCTTCCCAAGTCTGTCTAAATGCAGGAGAGCATCTGAGCAAGGCTGAACAGGCAGGGAAACTATGTAATAAGTGTCTTCTCAAATATAGCTTCATAAGGCTCCAAATCATTGAACTGCAGTGAGTGTGGCTGATTACTTTGTCTACTTTTGTGCTTCTTCATAAAACTTTGGGTCTTTGTGAAAAGACTTCATCAGTCCACATGGCCTCTTGGATACCCAGTGGGATGGGATTTTATCTCATCAACGCTGCTATAGGATTTAGAAATAGGATCAAAACTTCTGTAGCCTGGCATTTTAGAGAGTATGGTTTTACTTATTTAAAATGATTTTTAGACCATTTTCCTATTAATCACCTTAAAGAGGAATGCCATTTAACCCTATGCAACAGAAATGATATATAGTAGGTCTTCTATATCCAGGAGTTCTGTATATCCACATATTTAATCATCCATGGACTTTAAAATCTTTAAAAAAACCCAAAAGCAAACCTTGTGTCACTGTTTTATATAAGGAACACTATTTTACTATGTAAATGCATATAATGGGACTTGAGCATCCACAAATTTTGGTATCAATGAGGCCGGGGGGAGGGGGACTTGGAAAAAAATCCCAGCAGATAGTAAGGACTCATTGTAAACTATCATTCATTTGAAAACCGTAATAGATAATGTGACCAGCTAGAAAATATCTAGCAAAACAGATCTTTAATTGTTATTGAAAGCAATGCAGTTGTTGACATTTATTAACTGAGAGCTTTCCGCCCCTCAATCTACTCCAAACTGAACTTTGCATTTTTAAAAAGCTGTCCGAGGTACAAAATCTATTTAAGGAATAGATTCATTGCCTTGAACACCTTTAAAGTTCAGGGTAAAACACAGAAAGGATTCAAAGGCCCATTGATACTGAAGCCATTATTAGAATGTTATTTTATGACTCTTTTTTTGTAATTCTGATGATGTTGTTGTTGTTTGCTGTTTATGTTTTGATTTTATTGCTGTAATATGTTGTCCGGGCTTAGGCCCATGTAAGCCGCTCCAAGTCCCCATCGGGGAGATGGTGGCAGGGTATAAATAAAGAATATTATTATTGTTGTTGTTGTTGTTATTGTTATTATTTGGTGCTACTGCTTTTGACATACAATTCAGAATGTGGTTCTGTTCTCAGGATGACAAAGATGAGTGCACAGGTTTGTGTCCTGAACACTCAACATATGCTATATAAATGCTAAGAATTATGTTTATCATTAAACAAACAGACAGAATGAAATCCTTCATGAAAAGGAGTTCTGCAAAGTCCAGACTATTGAATCACCCCAGGAAGAAAGCATACCTGCTTCTACAAGGGATGCTGCAAAACAGATTATTCCAGATGGCTTCAGCAGGAGAGCCAACCCAGGAGGCTGTCAGAGAATGGAAATTCTGACAGTTGTTCTTAGTGTCAGAAATAGTCTAAGTGAGGAAGATGTATCCCATCCCCAAAGACCATATCTTAGGCAAGCCAAGTAAGACTGTTGAAGCACATCCAAACAATAATTCCTCTTTATGCTGAGAAGGCTTCTGATGGTGTTCCAGTTTCCCCCCCAGTCCAGTGTGATAGGCTTTCATGCCTGACAATTACAAAAATGTATGTTGGCTGCAAGGTTGGCAAGAGTCTTGTTTCAAAATGTAGCTAGAAGAAACATAGTGAGATGAATGGGTTCCTCTTTACACAAGATTGAAATGTAAGGCTTTATCACACAAGTCATGCAAGCAGCATACGGGTACATTAGTGCTAATTCACAGATCCATGGTTCCATGAGTGTACTTTCTTTGAAATACTGCCTCATTATTTGATTAATCCCCTGCCACCCTACTTATTTGGCTGCTATTAAAATATTTTAGGCTTTCTTCCTCTTCCCATGATACTTCTTTGTCCTCGGCATACTTCAGTTGCTACAAACTAAATGTGCAGAAGTTTACATTCAATTAAATCAGCAGAAGAGAGTAGAGAAGAGGGCAGGATCTTACCTATTCCAGTAGGATCAGGCAAAAGCAAACTGTTACATCCCCTCCCCCCCCCATTTGCATTTTCTCCTTCATTAACAACATTGGTCATCTTGACCATACTCTTATGTTAATTGGTCATACATGACCTAGTTATTATCTGTAAAATGTGGGGGATATGAAATTGCAGTAACTGGCATGCTTTGACCCTTTTCTTAACTTACATCTGCCAGCAGCTTTTTTCTTTTTTTGTCCTCCTATCCCTTATGTGCCATTTCATATATCTAAATTTTAGATATTAAGTTTATGAACATTGCCCTAGAAGTCAAAATGACCACATTGAGGTTGTTGATTTCTGCATACATAAAAAAGGATGTGATTCATTGAGAAAAAATGATAATGCTCCACAAAGTAGAAGGCAGAAAGAAGGAAAACTGCACTATACATAGATTGATTCATCAAGGAAGCCGCAGCCCTCTATTAACAAAACTTGAGGATTCTTAATTGTAGGGTTTCTTGGAGGACTCCCATTCATGCAGTCACCCAAGTTGAAACTATGGATGGCAAAAATATTTGAAAATATTTTAAAAAATAGTCAAAATCATGATTTTTGAGTGTTGAGACTCTAGACTGAAAATTACTAGACCGATGAGAATCTTCACAGCTCAATCATTCTTCTGCATAAAATGTGTGCAAAAACAACCCCCCCTTTTCGCAAAAAACAATATTTTTTCTAGTCTGCTCATCAGCCACAAATGCACTCAGAGCAGCTTATCATAAAAATAGCACTGTAAATGGGAATGTATTTATTGTAAAATTCCCATGAATTGCATAGAAAGCAGCATTTTCTTCACAGGCATTAATACTTCTTCAATGAAATATTTTTCACGCAAAAAAAGTTATGTGCAGAAAATACTCTTTTATGTGCAAAATTTTGCAAATTTGTGCAGAATACATCCTGAACTGCAAATAGCGTTTCAAAATTGCATTGTTTTCAAAAACTTTCTAATTGCAGGAACACAGTTGCTGAAATTTTTCATTGCTATGATTGAGGAGAAACTTCATAAATAATTATATTACCAGATGAAGCTGACTTGCTGACAAATAACAAATACAAACAGTCTATTAACAGGACAGGATGCAAATGCTTTAAATAAATCAGAGCTTGGGAAAGTAACTTTGGATGGGGCTACAATTCACTGAATCCTACAGCTACAAAAATCACTTTTCCCAAGGTCTGCAATAAGTGAAATGCAATAAATCTTTCCCATTTCTACCTAATACAGAGTTGGTGAAGAAACAAATAGACCAGTCTCAGAAGTAAGCCTGACCCACAAATATTTGCAAGACTATGAATAGGTGTAATTTTTTTCAAATTCAGGACGTAATTAATTAACCTGTGTTATGAGTGACTGTACAGTTCTGTTGTCTGGACAATGTTTGGTGGCAGTACAATGATCAGTACCCTAACTGTCCTCTTTTAGACCATGAGTTTAAGATTTCTCCAGAGGAACACTGCTTCAGAGGGGGCATATGGAACTATTTAGTGAATCTTCAAGCAGCTTCCTTAAACAAGACATTTCTCATCTAATTAATATTAACAGAATCCACACTCAGCCCTGGAGCAACATGCCTCAAACCAAATAAGTAACTAAACCAATTAGGTTAAATTTGGCAAGCAAATCTAATCGAGACTGTACAAAAGGTCTGTTCAGTTTCCAATGTGATACCAGCTCTCAGCAATAAACCTTTATTATTAGTCTGCTAGTGAAAGCAGAATACACAAGATTTGCTTTTTCTTCCTCTCCCTGTTTTTAAATAGGCA